ATAGTAGTTGTGGAGACCTTTGGCCACTCCCCCTTCCAACAGACGACAATATACGATCCCTTCCTCGCGGTCATGATACGACCCCTCCCTCCCATTGCTGATCATCTCAACCGAGTGGCGGCTGGCCCTGAGCGCCAAGTAAGCCCGCGAACAATAATAAACACTTAACTTTTAAGATTCTTACCTTTTAATTTTTCAGTCACAATAATCTCTTAACAAAATAAATAATTTTTTAAAATTTATGAGGACGTGTTTAGAAGTTAATGGCGTTACAGAATTCTAGTTAGTATGGTACAACTACAGACTCTCACTTTCAAAGGTGTTTTGGCGCTATTGTTCCATGATTGAAATCAGCTACAATACCAGCTAAACAGTACAATAGAAGCGTCAGCAGCTTGTCTTATTGGCTATATACAAAGGGGGGGGGGTTCCAAGGGCCATTACCTTCCACGGGGTCATCTGACCTTATGTCGTTCTTGGGTAACAGTGAAAGATATACGAACAATTAAGGTATTATGGTTGGAAGGTCAAGAAGTACGACGAATCTCAGCTCGTCTCACCTCGTTGGTTCTCTCTTCAGTCGGCTGCTATCGATCAACCACGATCGATTTCAGTAAAGTCCATGTCGAAGGCACCGTGATTCGTGGCAGCTGTGAAATGGTCGACAGGTTTGTTCAACTGAATTTTGAAGAATAAAAAATAGCTGGGGACTTTCCGGGATATGAAATGATCGAACTGCAACTGTGCCAATTCCAGTTACCGGGTTTTCATGCTGGCAGTCTGGCACCTGTCTGATAAAGGGTCCCCTCCTCAAGTAGGTAGCCTGGTTCTGCAACCTTCAAGGTAGTGCTCACTTCGCAGCTATAAAGTGCGCAGTAAGCAGGCTGCAAGGTCATCCCATGGGTCATGTCGGCCCCAATTGTTCTTCACGTCATAGTGATGCCTTTGAACGGTATCGTAGTTGGAGGGGGGGGGGGTGGGAGGGACCACCCGGAAGCACTTCTGTACTTATTCCCCGTATCAAGGCTCAGGCTGGAAGGAAATCGTGTCCTCTGAGAGTATCCTGCGGCGACTCTAGGTCGTCTGCGCTCTAAGTATTGAGTCTTTTTGGGAAAAGGATACAGAGGCGCTACTAAGTGGTCCAACCCCCCCCCCCTTCCCAACTACGGCAGCGCATGCATTTGCGCTTTCTCGCCCGTCAGTTTCTATCTGGTCCCGCACTCTTCAGTGTATCGTCGCCTTTCGCGTTTTGCAAGTGATCTTGGCCGTCCTATGCTTGTCCACTGATCATAATCAACTGTACGAGTTAGGGTCTTATTGAGGCCTTTCCATTTCCCTTTTGCCTCTCTAGTGAGCCGGTAACGAATGAATGAGCTCGGCGTATTATCAGTCTCCTTTTATAATGCGGATTTTTAACCCGCATACAGAATGGGTTACAGAATCGTCCGATTTTTATTATACCAACCCCCCCCCCTTTCCCAACTACGCCTTCCTCCCTCTAGAAAAATTCACAGCCTCCTTCTAGAAAAATTTGGTGCCAGTGACTCGCCCAGATGCACGGAAGGCTTGGTCAGCTCAGCACCCTATTCGAGACTCGGCCGAAAGCGAGGGAATGGTATTTGCTGCTACCCTGCACCCTGGCTAAATTTTGTGCCCTAAAGGGTTGTGGCGGCAATTCGGCTTAGTGGGGAAAACCATATGGTTTTTAGCGAAGCCTGCACTGGTCGCCTTGTCAGGACCTGTGAATTCTGTAGCGGGGGTGACTACTATTCTCAGTTCGCAATTCAGTTTCAGGTCTCACCAAAATGCAACCTGTTAGTCAACAAGAACTAGGAAATTGCACTCGCAAATGTGCATAATGCCCCTTCCAAGCCGAATAGCGCCGGGTTCTTGAACCACAGTTCGGACTGCAAAGCTTCCTAAAAGAAAGCGCGTGCTTATGGTGGCATAAAACGCGCTTGACGGCAGATAAGAGCTTGCGAGTAACCATTCTTAACCGTAGGTTGACGGTAGCTGGCATTGAACTCCATATTACTTCCCACTGACCTACAAATATATGACTTCATGAAAAAAAATTGTAGTAATAGAGCTCCCATCACTTCCTTGTTTTCAACAGGTGAATAGAACGCTAAAAAAGGTGTACCAATTAGTTTCATCGTTGGTCCTGTTATGATATTGTGGTTGTTCGATGTATGAGTGTGTTTGTTCAAGTAAACACCTGTGCCAATAGAGGATACGGTGCTAGGCGATTGTGGTGTTTGACATTACTTAAGACATGACCTTCTGTAAAGCAAATTACGGAGAAACGCTGGTGTGTAGTGAGGGTAGGAGAAGCGATGATATATGTTCGAATGGCTGAAGAAAATTTTTCATGCCGAATCGGTCGGCCAGGAGGGCGATGGGAGTAAAAGGGAATCAATCGATGCTGTGTACCGGAAAATCGAAACACGAGGAAGTTTTACAACTAGGAGAACTCAACACATCTACTTATGTGCTATATCTCCCGGAAACGTTCTGGAATACTACTTTGCATGTCTATGAGTACTTCAACGCATTACTGGATATGACTTGAGCCCAAATCGATTGCTGTTGACATCAAGGGCACTTTAGACGGAATTGTTATTGAAAGGATAGCCAGAAGTTGATGAATAAAGGACCTCATCCGCGAAACCCCACTAGCTGTCAATTATGTGTCGGAAGCACTGAAGGCGGTTAATTGGACGTGGAAATTAGGTAATTAACGCTTTTTGGAGGATTGATATTGTATGGCATGAGATGCGGTATGGTCTTCCGTGGATCAGGGCACATCATGGCAATGTGTGAACTGGTTATCCATCAGTTACGAATGCCTCTCCAACACTGTCTCTAGTACGACTCCTTTTAGGGGTAAGCTGGAGATCACACTTACACCGGTTCTTAAGTACGCTTTCTTAGTGGTAATAATTCTGGCCCAATGGTTCAATCTGGGAAACTTCACCAGGTTTCCAGCATTACCCCTTTTCAGAGATTTAACCTTGGAAGCCCCACTTCGCCTACGCAGTGTCATTTTCCTTACCTCGACTTCTCAAAAGAAAAACTGTTGACTCCGAGAGGGAACACTGTCCAAACGAAGAAGCACAATATTTAGTGGTTAACCTTCCAGGCATAACAGAGCCAAGGGACAATCAGATTTCTTCTCCTCCAATAATAGATTACTCATTCATTTTTTTATTCCTACTCAAAATCTTATTTACAGGTGCCTACCGTCTCGATGTGAGAACGATGGAGTTTGCCGTCAAACCACGTTATCTGATTACACATGCACTTGTACTGAAGGACATTATGGCAAGAACTGTCACTCATGTGAGTCAATCTTGTTCCATTTACCCTCTTCTTGGGAATCCAACCACCCACGAGCACGAACATCGAAAGGCCCGTCCATATGAGTACTGCGAATGTTTCACACGTCCTGGGTACTATCGGCTTTCCAGCCATCAGCGTTGGCACCGTTATCATCGGGCTCCGCTAAGGTTCAGGAAAGGCTCCAAATAAGTGCAGCTCATAGCCTAGGGAATAGAGAACTTGTTTTGAGGATTTTTACTTGAAGGCAAAGCTCGTGATCGTTTGCCATCAAAGATAATGGACTAGGGGCTCGACTGTAGACCACAAGATTCTGAATAACTCGACAGTGAAGAAAAAAAGCAAAAAAAACATGCCAACTGCTCTGATAGAACCCCATTCCGGTCCCAGTTTGTACGTGCCCAATTAACTCCATCTCCAACACTACGCCCTCATCCGCACAGCTGATTCCCCGATAAGAACTCTACGACCGTACAAGTGACGATTTTCATGCTTTTTCGTCCTGCAGCTTCGTTTTTCACTGAAAGGCGGGCCTTGAAGGCGGAGTCTGGAGGCGGAGTCACTGGAAAAAGGAGGCGTCACTGAACCTATATTGCGCTACAGCGCCCCTCCCAATTTTTGCCGCGAAACCGGTACAAGGTTGTTCGTCGCGGACCACACTACCCTCCCGACGCCATATTTTCAACTTCTATACCTGATCGCGGACCGTGCCTTCAAAAGGTTTTTCGTGGGCGGAGACGATCACTCATCACCACTGGAGCGTTGCTCCTGGGAGGTCATATGCGACAGACACTCCTCTCCCAACCAGAAACACTCGAGAAAACTGCCGTCGAACGAGATGGGGTTGTGGGAAGAACTCTGACTGTCAGAAATAGAAAAATTGCCGCGCAACAGAAAGAACAAGAATTAAGAAAGTTTTCATCAGGCCAAGTAGGACCCTCTGAAGCGACCAAATGCGATCGCCGAACTCGGGTCCCATGGATACGTAGAACATTAGGACGTCTGAGGTACAAGGAGAACTCTGAACACTTTTATAACAACACTTTTTTATTATCAGAACAACCACTTCCACAATTCCTATTGATTGCTCTCTAACAACTATTTGATACATTTACCAGTAGACAACACAGAAGCGGGCAAGATAATTAACTACACTCCAATACGAAGTCCGCGCTCGATGCTCGAGGGTGGAGAGACCTACAATGTTGCGACTTTCTCGATTTTTGTATTTCTAGTGCGTTGAAGGGCAAGGGATGCACAGTAGCTGGATGTCTAAACCCACGAGATCAGCGTATACTGTACCCTACAGTCGTTTTCGCTGAAGACGCGAAGGGGCTGGCTTTGGCGCAGCGCCAGCTTTTTCTCCATCAATTGCTGAAGCGGGGAAGCGATAAGAATCGATGGAAAAAGAGTGCAACTACGCCAAGCCCACCCCCCCCCTCTGACGCGTCCTGAAGTCTGCAGCGAAAACGACTAAATATCCCGCGACAGAGAAGAACTGGTTCTCCTACTGAGGAATTCTTCTCCCCCCCCATGTTCGTCATGCTCGCGTTCAATACGATTAGAGGATGCCGGGTGAAGATAGGAAATAGCCTCAGTGGAGCTACAGGTAATAACAGACAAAGACAGTGACAGTTAAAAACCTAGTCTACGGTAGGTAATTAGTAACTGCTTAGTAGGTAATCTAAAAGGTGTATTGTACAAGCAAGTTGATTCCCGAATGCACTAGTACATCTGCGTAGGCCTTGATGGTTTCGCCCTCTGTGTGGCGTCGTTGTAACTTGGAGGTGGGACTCTATAGACAGCTGGGATTGTTTGTGATGAGCTGCGTAAAATATAAGACAGTTAGAACGCCAGCTAAACGGTCGCATGTTTCCTGTGAAGACTTTTCTGAAATTTAATTGATTACTTCTGGGTTCATTCTATTGATCTCATCTTGGAGAATGTTCTCCGTTAATTGTGGAGGCAGGACCACTTGGATCATTTTTTCTCACCATTGAAAGGATACCTTCAAGGATGTCAAAACAAGAGCGCACCAATCAGGAGGGCGCAATGATCCAAGTGACTCCGCCCACATGATTGAGTGGAACGTGTTTTGGGACTTACCTGAACGGCTCCAATAACAGCATTCCGGCGATGTTGAAAATCCATGGATGAAGCATGTAGTCGGTGAAAGTATAGATGGCCGTCAAAACCTCGACACCACCAAAGTACCAATCCATTAGTTTAGCGCTCAGGTGATCTAAAACCTTGTAAAATATCATTTCCGTGAGATCTCGCTCTTTGATACTCACGTGTATGCAGCATTGAAGGGAGTACTGCGATAAGACAGAAGAGAAGGAAACGACTGAATTTCGATTTCATTGGTTGCCGACGTTTCACCCAGGTGTTGTCGTTTGGACGTGGGCGATGAAGGAATACGGCTACCACTACCTGAACACAGCAAACTCGACTTCCGTGCTGATCCAGTTCAATTCCACATTTACGGGAGAATTCATTCTAAGTATCCTATCAACTGGGATAGTCTAAGGAACCCAGATTCGTTATCAGCAGCCCTTGAGCAAGCTACAAGGTTATCTGGGCCCTTTGAACATTTACCGAGGGTTTTGATTACGCGTTCCTTTCTCTCTAGTGATCCACGGGTCAGGAAAAATGTCGTCAGGAAGGCGAAGGGAGGGCAAAGGTAGTGGCGACTATGTCCTGTCAATGCCCTGTCATCTGCGCTCCCTCTCTCCAGTGAAGCCAGAAACAGTAACTTAGTCCAGACAGGACACGAAAGGAGTGCTTTTGACCTAGAAAACCCTTCACTAGCCGGCTCGCCCTGGTTCAGCTGCTCAGGTAACTGAATGGAGAAGACCTCCACTCTCCGCTGATTATTGAGAGGGTCGTATTTCGAGAGTGCATCTCGCGTCATAAAAAGGGATCTATGTTTTCGTCACCGCGCTACCTCGGTGAGAGAGGCTGGCAAGCAAGCTGCACGGAAGTGAGAGTTTCATCCTCCCAGACGAATCTCTTATCAATTTGCCGTTCATGGAGTGTAGAAGATTCGGTTGGCTTGATCTCATCCGGGATTTGATCCCCGGACCGCGCGAATGGTCCCCGGATGAATGGCTGATTGCCACAACATCTTCTCCCCTACAGATATCACTGGAGAATTTATTTATCGGTTTGATGTGTCTGCCAAGGTCACCACAAACCTTAGCGGTAAGTGCACGCCGTTCGGCTTGAGAGGGGCATCTGCACTTCTACTAGTTCCTTTTACTTAACAAGCCTCATTTTGCTGTAAGTTGTAAGTTTTGGGCCACCCTCCACACCATGCCGAACTGCGCCGCAACTGCGTTTGCAGTATTAGTCTAAATAAGTGCCTCGGACAGGTGGTTATTAATTTTCGCTGTCCAAGTCCGAGTTCCTCGTAGCTATACAAACAAGGTATTTTGGTCTCATTTAGATTTATTGTTTTTCACTCATTAAACAAATTATTCCTGAGACAAGGTACAAGCTTTGTCTCCATAAGTAAAACAATTGCTTACCGCCATGATGACAGAGACTGCAACGTAATAGACCACCAAGAAAAGAATCATTGACTCGGAGAGGTAATGGAACTTGTAGATGGTGATCAGCACTCCCTGAGTGATTGCCATCATCACGATAATAGGTGCCCTGGAATTGGTGGTTATTTTAGAGGCGATCTGTGCGATATGTGTGGGCGGACACGCCCAACCTTCTGATTTCCACAGTAGGTGCGCTCGCTCTCAATCGTTTCAGGGAAAGGCGCGCCAATGAGAAAGGCAGAGGTCACGGGTTGTCTCCGCCCATTCCTTCGCCCACCACGTCATCGTGCAATGTGTCTTTAAGTTTATCCATGGATCTACTTTATATCGCTTTGTTCTACCTAATATGGCTTCGAACCGCCAGAAAGAAATATGGGAATTATAGTAAGGAATTCAATCTGCTGGGCTATTAGTCGTTATTTTTAATCATACAAGGCTCCAAATCCCTTGCAAAACAGCTCACTTCCTTTTTTCATAAGCAAAAATAGATCTACAAAAACTTACCATGTATTGCATTTTGTAGTTTTCCCACGGCGAATCTCCTGCAGCATGCAAATGAACACGTTGAAAGCTCCATAACATATAGTGATCACCATAAAAGCCGACATCATTGTGAAAAACAGCTTGAGTTGGAGTTTCGACAAACGGAAGGTTAACTGCATGTGGGTGGGT